TTATGTATTGTTGCACTTAAATACATTGTATTATTTGACTCGATTTAACTTAAATTTGTACATTAATCAAGAATAATATACTCGACTTGTTTGTTTTGTTTTTAACCCTTAGTACTATGTATCAAATTAATGTAAATTTTGTATATAACTAACTGTAGTTTATAATTTTATTTTTTAGATTTTATCACCGCAATCTTTTGAAGGTAATACGTTCAGCAATACAGTTTATCTTCAACTGAAGAATTACCGATCAAGAAAAATAGTAGTACATCTCAAGATGTGTCTGACGCTCAGCCATTCAACTCAGTTAGTAAAAATTTTAATCTAAATTATCAAGTATACAATGTATTAAATTTACTATACGCATTTAATCAAGTTAATTTATATAAGATGATCATTTACATAATCTTCAGTACTTAAACTTATGAATTATTAGTTATTACCTAAAACTTAAATTTTAAATTATGAAATTATAAGTTCATGTAAGCTATGGTTGAATTCCGTTAACTTTCTCATTTTGGCTTATATTTTTTAATTTTAAATAAAACTTAACTTTTAATAACATTCAAATTAGTGATAATTGTATTTTATTATTTTTTCTCAGGAGTTATTAGATTTGCTCAAAAGTGCCAATGCTGGTAGAGGGTTATTGGCAACTTATTTAAAAAGTGGACTACTGGATAGTATTGGCCGAAAGCGTCTGTGTAATATAATAATCAACAAAGAACTTCAAGATGATGTCCATCGCAAAGTACCATCATCAAGGTTACAAGATTTGGCATACCAAATAACAACAATTTTTAATAAGGAACATACTGCAACATATTTCATACCGTATATATCTTAATGGCCCAGGACTTAAAAGAGCAGCAAAAGGAAAAACTTCTGATTACCTTATAATAAAGAAGAGATTATCGTAATCTGGATTAATCAGTCATCTAGAAACATTTCTACATCTTCATCAGGACATTCATCTCCCATTCCGTTACCAGAAGCATTACGCTCATTAGACGACAAAACAGAAGATAATGAAGCATTAATTGAGGGCAACTTGAATTGGTTGCAAAACTCAAGCGATTCGTGAATATAGTTTGAAACAGATGGAGCACTACTGCTAATACTCGACTAAAGAAATTATGTCTCAGATGGTCCAACTATTGCTGAGTATATGGCAACCATTTCCATCTTTAAGAAAACCTGCTGGGTATACTCTTGTGAGTATGGAAAATATTTTAAATATGTTTGTGTCTTTCGACTTTCATCATAAAAATAAACATAATTTTTTTCAGATTTTGAAAGACTTTGATGTGGCCTATCCTGGATTTAGTGATCGATTGTATCAAAGTCTACCACTGTGCAAAAATAAAATTTCCAAACTGGCAACAGAGAAAATTAATAAATCTAAGGACCCTTCAACCAATCAACTTTTGAAGGAGTATGTGCAGTTGAGCTCTGAAGGTATATTGTAAAAACCAAATTGTTAATGTTTTTAAAGTTAATCATTAATATTATATTCATTTTGGTTAATCTGATTTCTTAAATAATATAAATGATCAAACTATAGGTACTCAAACAAATGGTTTTTGTATTTTCGCAGTTGGTTTAAAGGTTAAAAGTATAATCGTATAAAAAAAAATTAATTGTTTCTTGGTTTTGTTTAACACATTTCTGGTTTTAAAATAAAAATAATATATTAAAAAGTAAAATTTAAAGAATCCATAAATGATTAAATGATAATAGGCATTTTTTTTATAAAAATATTACTTTAAAGTACCTATTAAAACATGTATTTGTTTTTTTTAGAAAACGAGGACATTTTGAATCTTGCTGTTTTACTGTGTCTACCATTTCTGATTGGCGTGTCCATTTCTAAAGGAAAAAAAGCAAAACTGCAATGGAGACCATCGAAAGTAGAGATGAGAGATGGTTTTATAACGCATGTGCTGAGTAGTGCCGAAGTACAAGAAACAATATCAAGAAGAAGAGATAAATTGGTAGGATTAGGCCAAACTTTACAGCCATTTGTGTTAATAGTGGGTTCTTCTTTAAAAGAGATATCTAGTTACTTTGTTGTAATTGATAATACATTTTATCGTTTAAATTCAATCATTTCAGCAGTCGATTGTTGTTTCAAAATTATAATCACACTTAATGCTAATTATCCATCAGAGAGTGAAGCTGTTTGGTATTTTATACAAAAAGGGTTATACAAATTAAATACACCGTTGATAAAACTTTACAGCAGTCAATGCTTTTTTATCAGATGTTGGAATAACTATTTAAAACTGAATATTTTTATTTTGTAAATTTAAAGAAGACCCTGCTTCAAATAACATAGTTATTATTTTTAATTTTTATATTCTTAGTTTTCAAAACAATATGTTTACTTGTTTTTTATGTAAAAAAACTTTTATTAATAGGTACAAAGATTCTGAAGAACCAGTTTGGGGTCTATATATTGCTATGCGGAGAGTTATGGATGTTATATTATCAACATCACTTGAATTAGGCAGTTGTTCAATGCTTCAGACCTTAGTTGCTGAAATGATGATCTTTATTTAAAGTAGAGTAAAAAACAGTTTAAACCAAAATTCATTTTTAACACACTATCACTCTTTAATTAAAAAATTTGGACCCGTAATTCACCTATGGTCTATGAGATATGAAGCAAAACATAAAGTATCAAAAATTTTGGCCAGGTCTTCATTCAATAGGCGTGTTATTTGCAAGACTTTGGCAATCAAACACCAACTTAAGTTGAATGAAACATTTATTAATGGTAAATTATGTAATAAAATAAAAGTAGGACCTCAAATAGAATTGGACTCAATAAAACAGTATCAAATTCAAAATAAACTAAATCTGAATATAGAGGAATCATTATTTCGAGTAAATTGGGCTGAAGTGGGAGGAACTCGTTACAAACCTAAAACCATATTGACGTTAGACATTTAAATGATAATAATCCTCAATTGCGATTGTAAAGACTGTTTTTCTTTATGCGAAAAACAGGGTAATTTTTGAGTGCAACATTTTAACAACAATCGCTTTGATGAACATTATACTGTTATGAAATAACATTACCAGAAACCATAATATTCATTATGTATTTCAGGATTTACCTCCTTTCTCATGTAACAAATACGTTAATATTGTATCAAATGGAACAAAATATATAACTGTAAGAAGTCCTTTTTAAATTATGTTGTTGCTTTATTTATGTAACAAAATATGTATTTTATGTATCTACTTAAAATTTGTTTGAAAATACATGTATAATAAACAATATAAGAAAATCAATTTGGCAGTCATTGTTTTATTTTAATATTTCTTTCCTTATTAAAAACCATTATGCTTACATTATCAGTGCTCAAATTGGAAAAATAATATGGTGATGCAGTTAAGTAAGAAAGTAGTATTTTTCAATTTCCCCTTTGGGTTTTTATATTTATAAAGCCAATTGGGAAAACAATTGAGGGGTAGTGATAAAAAAAAAATGAAAAAAATAAAGTCCCCCCCCAGAATTCGAGCACTGTAACAACTGAATATTTAGTAATTGTAACAGAAATAAAATTAGTATATCATTGATCTGCTTCGTAGAGATAACAGATATAAACAACAATGTTTACTAAATTGCATTGTTGTATTAATGATAGAGTATGTAGTTACTACAAACGAGTTCTGTATTGGTATCAAAATACTTGTAAGCCACCAAGACATCCAATTGTTATTGTAACTAATATCAAACAAATTTAACTAAATGTTTGTGACACCTATGACATATTTCTCCTGCACACCTACAAAGGAATTTGTAATTCTAACATTTTAGTTATAAATTTTGTATGCAAACCTAAATCACGTTTTGTATTTGAAACGAACTAATTTGTACACATGACAATAATTAGTTAACAAAAATAAGTTTGTACTGTAATTGTTTGTATTGTTGTCCCGAGCCAACCGGTAGCATGGTTGTAACTACTGTATTTCAGTTGTCCTAACAGAATATTTTTTTCAGTGCGCGGTTGACGTCTTGAAGACGCCAGTTGAAGTCCTCCATCAGGTACTCTTCGTTCCTCTCGTACAACGCCAGCGCGTTTGACGGCTGGCCGAACACCAGTATAGTGACGAAACAGATACCGCAGTTGCCGCGGTTAATCCACCAACCGCGACTCCTCAAAACAATTCCGCCACGCTAGGTCGTCTGCCAATAGTCCGAGTGCAATTGCAGCCGCCGTGTATGTTTCGTGAACGACCCCGTCCACCGTCCTAATGTCTCGAAAAGACTGCGGGCCTCTTCGGTTCAGAAGTAGCAATCTCAAGTGGAAACGGTCCTGGTCTTTTGGGTTCACCGCGTACATCCGAGCCAATGTAACGTGTGTCATCCGATTCACCCGCGGACGCCATTGTTTGACACCCGCCTGCCAGGTGTAATGCATCGTTATGTCGTTGTACAAGTACTGTCGAGCCACCGCGTTGGTCGCGTTGAGCTCGAAGAACTGCGTGAGTTTCGTGCGACCTACAGCTTCGTTCTGTAGCCGTTCTTCTTCTTGGCCCGGCTGAAACAACACGTTCTGACGACCCTCCAGGTGAACGGGAAGCCTGACGACCGTGTGACTTTTGCCGTGCAATTTGTACGAAAACAATCGCAAGACGGCTTCTGGCGGGCTGACGTATCTCGAGTTGACGTACCTAAGAAGGAATATTTATCGCTCAGTATAAGATGATACCGTTTGGTGTTGTATTATTATTATTATTAATTTATTTTTTGTTCTGTAGACGCATAGCGTTGCATCGCAATATAATATATTACAGTATTTAATAATTTAAATTAATTTTGAAGTAAAGCGAATTGAAACGTTCAACCATACTAAGTTCTTTATTTTAACTGTTAGTGGACAGATAGACTAACGGTGTGTCATTATTAACATTGAAAAATATTAACGTTAAATAATTAATTATAAAAATAATAATAATAATACCTAAACACACATTAAATTAAAGGTATATAATATAGCTAGAATACAAAAGGTATTAGTAAAAGTATACAACTATCCTAAAAACCTAAAAGACAGTGAGTAAAATAACACTGGACACACTGCTAATTTTCAATTTAATACCTAGAATAAAAATCTATCAATAGTATGTAGGTATCACAGTATTGAACTCTTTGTGGTTGTACATTATAAAATAATACCTAAACAACATAATAAATAGAGGTAATGGTGAATGTATGCAACTGCATCTAAAGCATAAATATTCATCCACACTGAACACACAAAATGAAAGTATACAGTCCACACTAATAATCATTATACCATACACATGTATTATTTAATTGAAATAGAATGTTTATTATGTTTATTATACACAGCTTGAACAAACTAAAATTGAAATAACGCATCTAATGTAATAAAAAATATAAAATTACTTGTGTTAAAAAAGGGCCAATGTCTCTTACTCTGTAGGATAAAATTAGATATAAAGTTTATAAATGTAGAAGTTACTAACATTATGCTAATATTATTGTTATTAAAATGTAGAAATGTTTTCACAAGTGTTTATTTTGAATTTAAGTTTTTAGCTTAAGATTGAATTCCTGAACATTGTCAAAATATGACATTGGCTCTTCTTGCACCAAGCCACATGACAATATAATGTAATATAATAAAATATATGATATGACGTGTATTGGTGAATGTATACAACTGCCCCTAAAAAATAGTAAATAATTCTCATACACACTCAACACACTAAATAAACGTATACAATACATCATAACAATTATTATACCATACACGTGTATACATTATATATGTATATTTTTATATTTATTTAACTGATGTGCAGTACTGTATGCAATAGAATGTTTAATGACCAACACGTAAAATAATTCAGTGGCTTGGTGCAAGATGGCTCAATGTCATTAAAATTTGTTTATGTCACATGTGTATTAAAAGGGCCAATGTCTCTTACGCTGTACGACCAAAGCAGATAAAGTTTACAAATGAATAAGTTACTAACATTATGGTCAATGGAATATCATATTAAAATGTAGAAAATATTTTCATAAAGTGTTTATTAAAATTTTAGTTTTTGGCCAATATAAAAACACAAAGCAATTTTATTATTTCGTCTGGTGGCCAATGTCAACCTAAACGTACATATTTATACTTGAAAACAAAATGAGAGTCATACAATGAAATAAAAACAAATATAATGTTTAGAGTTCTTGAACATTGGCAAAATATGACATTGGCCCTTCTTGTACCAAGCCACATAATGCAATATATTATAATACAATAATATAATATGAGGTATTGGTGAATGTGTACAACTGCCCTAAATAGAAGTAACACACTGAACACACCAAATAAACGTATGCAATCCATCATTATAATCATTATACCATACACATGTATACATTATCTTATTTTCTATTCTATTATGTTTATAACGCTAAGTGTAGTGTAATGTTAAGACTCACTGTATAGTTTCATCGTTATCCTCAATCTCCAATGTCACACGGTCGTGTCCCTTGTATACATACTTGTATATATACATGACGCTTTTTATGGTCGTGCATATCTCGACGTTGATGTGAGCGTCGTACTTGGCCAGAAGGTAAGGGTTGTATGGCACTACACACTCGTTACCGACCTCGCGACCTCCCACAAGTACCGTCCGGTCGTTATCCGGTCGGCGATACCTTGGATCCGCAACGTACACCGTCTCCTCTGCGTACGCTTTCGGGAACTCTTTCGAATAGCTGTTGTTCACCATGCACGGACACTGCGGGTTGACTGTTCCACACGGTCCGTGTATCATGTGCGACTTCACGCAGTTGAGTAAGCGCATGTCTGTCGCCGGGTCCGGCAAGAAGGCGCAAACCACGTCGTCGACGTCCGCCGCCGTGCGGAACTTACAATCCTCCTCCAGGATTATGAGTATGTGCGCATGGGGCAGACCGCGTTTCTGAAACTCAATAGTATATACGTAAGCGGCGACTTCACCAAACACACGATCAACAGTTATATCACTCAGTAGCTCCTGTAGTTTCATGTTGAACACCCTGGCCGTCAGGTCGGGCCTGTCATTTGGAACGCTGAAAGCCGCCAGGTTCTCCGTGATCTCCGGCCACCCGGGATTGCACGTAAACGTTATGAACAGGTCGGGCTTCCCTTTGCTACGGACCATGGCCATAGCGTCTTGGTAACACATCTTGTTGTATCGGTCGCTGCCCACAAACGTCGACGGCAAAATGATCCTATGGCCGACCGGTTCGATGTTGAGACGTTCGTTCACATGGTCCACGAGCCCCTGATACGCTTCGGCAAAGATTTCTCTCTGATGGTCACGTATGTAGTTCAGATTGTTGGTTTCCATCTGAACACTGTGGTCGCACAGGTACTGGTGAAACAAGGACCGGCCCTGATGTATCGAACTGAACATTGGGTGCCTCGTGTCGTTGTTTCCCTCATATCGACAGGCCACACGGTAGCACGCAAACTCTCTTATAGAGTTTCGACTGCGTACATTATTCCGTCGAGGGCCCTCTTGCTGCATCCCGTTATGCCAACCGGCCTCGCCGTACGGGAAAAACAGCGGATACAACATGGGATCCGAGTGACACGAACCTAGAGAAATATAATAATTTTAAGTTAATTGCTAAACCAAAGGTCTGTAGTAGCTGAGAGTTGGTTTATGGAGATACGTTTGTGTTGTGTGTACACAATTTGTAGAACCGCCAAAGTAAGGTATGAAATAATGTATAGAAAATGTCAATGAGTTATTAGGAGTTATTTATTTATATCTATTTATTATTTATTATTATGATGTGTGTATAGCAAGTACCTACATAATGTTTTGTAGAACCACAAACGAAAGGTAAATATATTTAGGAGGAAAATTGTGATAGGTATTATGTTGATCCACGTTGTTTTAAATTTATAATAATG